TAGCAGCTCTTCTTCAGTGAATTCTTCTAGTGGGGATTGTTTCCACTAGGTAACTGAAGAATTTGGAAATTAGTTGAACATCAGTCTACTGGCAACAGGGTACAATGATTATTATAATATTTTTCTGTAGTGAGTATAGTTAATTTCTATATAACATTTCAATGAACATTTCAACTTAAGCAGTAAAAAATGAAGTAGTTAATGGTCTTACAGAGTGCTTCAAATTCACTAACAAACCTTTCTCTAATATCCCCTGGACTTAGAACTGCTTAAGCTAAAATGCACCAGTGTCTGTTAAACAAACCACATTTTAGATTTGGTTACAAATACATCCTGCAGCATGTTATAAACAACTGTAAATAGCTCTTATGGTGTGTGTGAACATCTGCAAGTGTGGGCCCAGTACCCTTACAGTTTTCCACTGACTTTTGAAACCTCTTTGTGTTGACAGGAGGAGATAGTGGGCAGATCCCTTTCAGCATGATGACTGCAATGTCTCTTCCCAAACACTGGAATTCAGCTATGTTTACAGGCTAGTAGTGTATATTAGGAAATAAGCTATATTGTTTATATACACTTGAAAATTCAGAAATAATTTAAGAAAGGATAACTGAAGATATTAAATTTGCCTGGAAGACCAGAAGTACCACTGATGTATGGTGTTATTTTAAAGACCAAGATGATAATATTGTTAAAGTAATTAGCTGATTTCTCCAATTTTAAATTTCCTCATGATAAAGCTGGTGAATGAGAAGTTCCAGTTATCAAAAAGGTCTATATTTAAAGACAAATAAATTAGGTTGTCTTATTTAGTTCAGCTTTTTATTTAATAATTAAGGCCACCTAAAAGCAAGCAGTATGTTCCTGATACTAGAATGTGTTCACACCATATGTGATTAAATATTTTTAAAAGAATAACTATTCTTTTTTGAAAGAATAATAAAAAGCTATCTTTCAAAATAGTCCAGATCATCACTATCATATTAAAACAATTAGAAAACACTGCAGAATTTACACAGCTATTCTATTGGGCCCTCCATATGCAGATCTCTTGAAATAATGATCTCAACACTATGTATTTTAGAAATGTTAATTGCTACCCAAAGTTTGAGTTGGTGTTCAGCATTCAAAAGTCGTTTGCAGCTCTCCTCCCTGAAGCCAGGTCAGCCCGGCTGTGAATGCTTTTGAAAATTCTAACCATTCTTAATATGAAATGTGACTTAACATCACTCTGCAAGGTATCTATCATGACATGTAAATAAACATGAAAAACTACACATTCAGCTGGGAAATCTGTTTGTTCCGATAACAAGGATCTTTGGTCTAAAGACATACATTTATATCCTGTCCAGTACTGTGAGTAAATGCCTTTTTTTGCTTTCACTATGATTTCAGTGACGATGACTAAATGAAATATCAGAAATACTAATATCCACAAAATGACTAGCAACTGTGGAATAACACATATTAGAACTGTCAATCCAGGCTAATATTCAGTTGCCTCAGATAGAAAACTATTACAGAACTCAGAGATAACCTGCACCCTTTGATCATTCAGGCCTCTGGAAGCAAGTCTTCTGAAGGTAATATAGATGCCTCAAAGAATAAGAGTAATCTGGGGAGAATGAGATAACTAGTGAAATTTTAGCTGGATCCATGTCTGAAAAGTTAAATACTTTCATCTGGTTCATGGGTCAAAAAATTAGCAAATACAGGCACTCTGTACTCACTTCGACCTACTCCTAAACCTTCCTTAGAGAAGTTAATAAGGTCCTCTTTCCTACAGAATTGGAAAAATAACATTGATCTGTTTTTGAAGAAACTTAACTAAACTGGCCGTCTTGCCAGTCCTGTATCTTCCAAAGGTTTGAGACATCAAGGTCAGCTGAGCGGAACAACTGGAAGTCAAACCAAGAACCTCCTGAAAGTAACTAACTAGTCTTAATCGCTTTCATTCTCCTGTAGACTTCATTTGTGAAGATTTAAGTTGCTTTTAATTTGGATTCCCAGCTTGAGACAGCCTGGAAACCCAAACAGGGAAGCATAGAAACTTATGGTTTATTGCAGAAAGCTGATTTGAGCAGTTCCAAGAAACCAGCTAGGACTAAGAAGCTAATTGCAATGGGAAAATGATTGATTAATCCAGGGTAAAGCGAGTTGATTTGCAGCACTCTAACCAAACATCAGAACACAGAAACTATTTTAATGGATTAGACCAGATGTCTGCCTAGTCCAGAGAGGATAGCACCGGAATATGAACTCCGTAGTAGACAGATGTGAGATAATCTACCTTCCATATTAACTCTCAATCTCATTTGAAACACACAGATTGGCTTAAACCATGATATAGAAAATAATGCTGAGCTTAACAGTATAATAAAAGCTGATGGTAGTCCCTCTTCTGAAGTACTTTGTACAATTCTGTGTGTCCTAATCCCCCTCCCCAATAAAAAAAAAGCTTAGAATTTTGCAAAAACTACTACAGAAACAAAAATCTTCTACATGAAAAAGGAATGGAAATATGAAAAGATTTGTATATATGGAAACAATAAGTATAACTACCAGTGTAAGAAAGATTAACAGATTTACTTTCCTGTAACAGCAGAATAAGGAGATACTCATAAAACTGAGATGAAAAAATCTTACATTATAAAAAGGTATGTTTTCCATAAAGTATAATTAATATACAAAACCTCTTGACACAGTATATTTTCAAAGCTAAGAGTTTAGAGGGGTTGTAAGCATCTTAGACGTATATAATTCAGTATCAGGTGATATTTAGGAAGAAACTTAATTTTTAGTATCACCTTTCTCTAAGTGCACATTATACTTTTTCTGACATCCTTCCCTGACACTGACTCTTGTCAAACACAGGTGACTGAATTAAACCAGTAAAGAATGGTCCATAACAGTAATCTGTGTTGCTATAAAGCATGGATAAGTGACCTTTAATTTCTCAGTAATTGTTTTCTCATTTGAAAATTACAAATAACAATCAATATTTCAAGATGGGAAGATAAAACTTAGTTATTACTTGTGTTTTCTGATCCAGGAATAAAACATGATGTCGCTGTAAAAACAAGACAGCAAGTATAATACAGTCATACTGGCTAAATCAATTTATATGGTTTGAACAACGTTCAGTCCTTCTGTAATGGCTTTATTCTCCTTGCATCCATACATAAATATTTAAATTTGTGCAAAATGCTGGTTCCAAAGCTGGATTCCTGTATCTCCTAAAGACCGGTCCAGATCTGACATAATCACGAAGACATACTAAGCGGTCAGGATGCACCAAGAACAAGAACGTTCCCCAGCTATGTTATGTGCACATCACCAGTGTCAGTGTCACCCGGCACTAAGGGGACAAACAGGTTCTTCTGGGAATCTGCCAAAGATCTCTGAAAGAACCTGTCTGTCCCCTTAGCGTCAGGCAACAATCAGAAACCAAAGTTTAGGGGGGAAAAGGAAAAAAAAACCCAAACCACCCCACCTTTTTTTTCCACGGCCTACTTTCCATGTCCTTTCTTAAAAATGGGCTAAGATCACAAGTTTGCTTCCCAAGCCCTACTGATCTCTGAAAGTTTTGGGTCCTTTTCCTATCTTTGTGGTTCTTTGCTTTTTTAATTCCTCATCTGGTTTCTCAAAAAAAGAAGTACCCACAAATTAAGACTTGCAAAATGGCCAGACAGGCATTGCAAAACTTCAGTGGACACATATCAGGAACGTGCAACAAAACACGATTTCAGCACAAGCTGAAACGCAACATTTATGAGAAAATCACTGATTAGTTAGCTGCAATGGTTAGATGTGGAAAAAGTTCTGGACAAGGTTAAAAATCCAAAGCAAATACTGTCAGCCTGCAGATTTAAATAATATATCAGAGAACACAACAGAAGACTAAGTCTACACGCTAATCTGGAAATAGTAGGAAAGTCACATCATATGTTAAAGAAGGTTACTGACAACAGCACAGGCATAGGCAGATGAAGTAGGTAGGAAAGCTGACAAAGTCAGACAGACACTGGAGATTTGTTTCCTGCTTCACAGCGCAGTCAGAGCTGATCAGCTGTGTCTAGCAGTGTTGCACAACACAGTGGATGGAAACAATCACCTGCCTCATGGACAAGTTTAATGTGCACTGAACTTTACCGTGTGGTTTCAAGGGTTCATAAACAGCACGGCTGAACACAGGCCATTCAAGAACCTTATGGCAAATCCATTTAGATGTAGCCTTTGTAGTATTGTTTCCCAGAGCACAACAGCATTTCACATATTTATCACGTTTTTTGACCTTAAGTGGCACAAAAATCCAAAATCAGTTCTACAGATAATGCATCTTCATTTGAAGCCACTTCTGAAGCTGAAAAGCACATGCACAGCAGCTAACACAGCAGGCTAGGAAAATGAACTTTTGGTCTAGGAACCCAGATAATTTATGTATGATGCTGTGGGATATTACATATTCATAAAAACTGTCATTATCTTTGTTGCATCCTCCAAATGTTAATACCTTCAATTTTCATAACTTATTTGGGGGGCTTTTGTTTTCACGTGGGTTGGAAAAGACCTTAACTGTGTTTTGTTACAATAGGAAAGACCCCTGTACCTAGAGGATCCTTGTCATTCACGAGGAAACACAAAACTTTAGTTTCACCACAAACTTAGCTTCACATACACCGTTAGAGCCATTGTTAATACATCCTGAATAGGAAGAACAACATTTGGCACCTTCCGTAAAGAGACCCTCACAGACTCACGTATGAGATGTAAGGCGTACAGCACGCTGCCCCTCTGCAGCCTCCGTGTATTTTACACCTCCCGGGACAGGTGAAGCAGCACCTGCAGGTCAACCCCCAACCTATCAGCCTTGTGGTGCAGTTTCAATTCCAACCCTGTGTCTTCACATATTATTTTTCCGTTCTAAATAAAGCAGGCCATGGTTTCTCGTGTGAGAGGAACTCCCGTGCACCACCGTTTTGCCTTGCCCTGCTCTTCAGCACCGCCACCTTTGCCCCCTGCGCGGGGAGGACGGTGCACAGTGCAGGCTACCCCACCATCAGCTTCTTCCTCTGCACGGCCGGGGCTCTCCCCCCCGGTTTATCTGCTGGGTGAGCGGGGCTCTCGCCCTCTCACCTTCCTCCCCACAACGGGGCAATCCCCCCTCAGACAGGGCTGGAGTGTCTGGGGGCTCTTCCCCCTCTCCCTGCCTGAAGGGGCACTCCCCACGACCACCTCTCCCCCGGGAAGACGCTCCTCATCGCCCAAGGGAAGGTGCCTTGCCCTCCTCCACGGCTCCCTGGCCAGGGGCCTCTGCCCCGGCCCCTTCTCCACCTCGGTGCCCTCGGCCAGGAGGCGCTTCGGCCAGGAGGCGCTTCCCTCCCTCTCCCCCGGGAGAAGGGCTCCGTCACCCGCACTCCGCTGCGAGGCAGGCCCCCTCTACTGCCAGAAGCCCCTGGAGAAGGGGGGCTCTTCCCCCCTCCCCCCGCCCAGGCGACTGCGGCTGGCACTGACCCGTCTCTGCCGTCCTGCTCCTC